TATGTTATTGTTTAGTCGGTTTAAATGTTAGAATTTTCTTCTTTAAGCTTTAATGTTGTCGTCACTACATCTGGAAAACCACGTAAGAACAAATTAAAAGTATTTTAAAAGAGACCAGGTTGTTTGAAAATCCTAAACGAATGTTAAAATCGTCAAAACATTCTGGTGTCTGAGCCAGAGTGTCATCGATTTGCGATGTAATGTAAACAGAAATTATAGCAAGTTGATGTCAGTCAGCTTAGATGGTCCAAGCCAAAATTATATCGCATTTGAAGTTTCAAACTGAGTTAAAAATAGTGGAAGAAAAGCCGTAATTATACTTATTGTTATAATCCATTTAATAAAATGCAACATTTTTTTGTTTTAATGAAAAAATCAGTTATTTTCATGAGAACGATTTGTTATTCCATCTCGATTTTTTTAATCTCCAATCGCAATAACGTAAAGTATTATTACCCGCGAACCAATGAGTCAAATTTAAGAAATAACCCACTGTTAGAAAGCTGAATGGCTACGCTTTAAAATGAATGTAAACTTTAACGTTTTCATCTATTATTTGTTTAGCAATTTACATTTCAGTCGAGGATTGCCCTTTTTTTGATACACCCTGTATAACTGAACATTCAGTCTATCTACATTATAATGCACGAAATGCAGTATTACATACATACGACTTTTTTTCACCAACAACCCGCATTTGTCATGGATTCGAGAGTTAGATAAAGTAGCGTATTTACAGCTTTTTATAAGTGTTTCGATGTTGCGACAACTAAATCATGGGCTTGAGTCGTATGTGAGCTGATAGCAGACGAGATGTGTAGCCTTATAAGTTATAGCCATTAATAACTACTAGCAACAATCTACTCTTCTCTGTTTTAATATTTTGACAGTTTGTTCACCATATTAATCCGTACGTGTAGCGACTTGACCTGAACATTTTAGATGTTTTTGTTGCAAGCTGTGTTTTTGTTATAAAACGTAAAGTGAAACTAGTGAAATGGTTTTACTGAGAACAGTACGTACATACTGCTGACAGAAAACTTGAGATAGTTTAGTATCTGTATGATTCCATTTCCAAATATTACTTTACATGTGAAATGTCCCAATTCCACATCAAAGCGGTTCGCATGCGATGTTCCAATTCCACATAAAATTTCTTGATATGTGAAACGTTAATTCCAGTTCCACATAAAATTTCATGATAGGTATTCCTCGTGTCGGGAAGATGTAGTACCATAGTTTAAACCTCTTGACATTCAATTACGAAGAGTAAACACTTGGGTTAAAACGCAACTTCATCGCTTTCATAACATAATAATTGTAGAAATTAATAGACTGCAATATTCATTCGATTTTCCATTGCCTTTGCATGGCATTTATTATTAATACTTTTTGCGTTTTATTAAAAATATTTACAAGCACATATATATATCCCATTTCGTCCTCTTTTTTTATATAGACTGTCCCTAGATATGCCCCCACTATCTAAACCCCATCAAAGCATGCAACAACATACGTTTATAAGTGAGTACTAAATTTATATTAATTATAATTTTGTTACTTGAATCTTAATTGTGGAAGTATAGTATATATACTTGCAGTTCAAAAATGCAAGTCGGTTGATGAAAAATTGCGTAATTTTATACGATGTGTCTATTTGATATGTCAGTTTCTTTAAAATGCCAAAGCATTCCCTACAGGCCACGATATGAACACGATCGGAAATTGCGCAGAATGGCAGAAAATACCCGCTGAGCATTCATGGCATGGCACTGAGGGCTCAGTCAAGAATTTTCGCGCGCTTTTTGTTTTTCTTTGCTTTGTCGTATTTGTAAGATAATTAATAAGGCTCAAATTGTGAGTTTAGAGTGTTTGAAACACTCGTACATGTGCTCGAATCTCGTAATATTCAGTTATTAAGGTCGCAAGCCTTTTCTTTTATTAACCTTAATTTTTTACCAATAAAGTCGAAAACATGGCCTACTATCATGTTCACCATATCTTGAAATGATTCATTAATATTCAGTATACGTCAACATATGAAATCTACGCACTAGAGGTGTGCAAATCCGATCCAAATCCGATCCGATTCGTTCGGATTTCGGAACCAAAATATTCATTTCGGATCGGATTGATAAAGTTGTTTCGTAGTCGGATCGGATCGGACTTCGATATCCGAAATAAAATGAATTAATTATCCACGCATTATCGTAAGAATTAATTATCCATGCATTTATCAAAGCATCATCGCGGTTGTCGCTGCATTATTCGTTTGACTGATAGTTCAATGACTTCAATTGGACGTCACTTTGTCAGCTTCTTGACATGTATTTCTTGCTTTTATATTTATTTGGTTAAATATTTCAACTTGAATAAGAAATTTATTTTATTAAAGAATTCATCGGATCGGATTGGAATTCTTTTTCAAAACTCGGATTCGGATTAGAAAATTTCGGATCGGATCGGATTTTAAACATTAGGCAATTGTCGGATTATAGACGTCCAATCCGATCCGATGCACACCTCTACTACGCACGCTCGGTAGGTTGACCTGACTTTTAGGTTTCAATTTTTAATTGACCCCTATACAATTAACATTATTGTGCTAACACCGTAAATTCCAAGGAGTTGACCGAAATAACACTTTTGGAGTTGATTCTCAACTACTTGAAATTTACAGTGAAGGTGCATTGTTTTATTAAATAAAGCATAAGCAAAACGTCTCTCCACTTTTAAAACAAATGTTGATTGTTATGGTAAACATAAATATATCTAAAGTAGATGCTTCTAAAGGCTTTTATCATTTGAACTTTCGACGTTCAGGAACCGATATTCCCCTGCATGTATCCATGTTGAGTCATCAGATGTACCAAAGACTGGAGTTCTTATATATCCTGTATAATATAAGTGTACAAGACTTAAAATCCAGCCTACTGCATGGTTGAGCTATTAAACTTGAACTTTAATACACTCTTTTCATTTTATATAAGATCGCTTTTATGTGTCGAATACTGTGTTAGCAAAATGTTATGGAGATATACGGCTAACAATATGCCCAAGGCTGACATATTCTGAAGAATACCTTCTTGCTGTGGAAAACTTTAAATGAAAATTATGAAACATCAAAAATGTAATACCTTACTGTAATTTACAAGCTGAGCTAAGCATTCGAATTAATGCGCTCACAATAGAAAAAATTTGGACTATAAAGTTTAAAAATTTGGACTATATAGAGTTTTATATGCGTCCACAGCGAATTAAAATATAATATTGAATAAAAGTACTCAGCTTTATTAGCGCATACATGCATGTACTCATTTTTTAGTCGATTTACTCAAAAAATGAGTACATTTGCTCATAAATTTGAGTAATTTTACTGCAAATTTTGTGTCACTGTGCATGTTTCAGACAAAATACTCCGGGATTTTTTTGCAATGCATCAGCTCGCTGTGATGCAAACAACTACTGAAATATACTGTACTCTGTAATCTAAACCTAAATTTGTCGGAAAAATAAAAATATCTTGCAGCCTGAGCGTGATAGTTGGCCATTCAGATATTAGTTTTCGGTCCCGCCCTTATCGTATTACGCCCTCTGTGAATTTATAATCCACTGCTCTAGCAAGCTATAGTCTTCATATAGTCTGCTATCAAATTTAAAGCTATCACGGCATGCATGCGACCTCGTATCAAAATGTTTTAATACGGTTGAGCAAACACATAGCTTAGTCTTAGGTGTTTATTCTTGTGCAGAAATGGTTTTCGGCACGTCAAAGTGGACACATTCATTAATGAATGAAGAGAAAAACCTCGCAAAAGAAAAACCTACAATCTTGCACATAATGTTTGAGACCTTTCCTCACATTATATTGCCAAGACAAAGCAAATTTCGTGACCCCTCTCCCCCATGCAATTCGATGTTTTGAAACAACTTTTAGTACTGAATTTACCAAAACAAAAGTTTAACATTGAGCACTGGATGTTTTTTCAAAATGCTTACTATGGAAATAGTATGCGAGACCTCTATAGTTGGAAATTGTATACAGGGAATCCAATTTCCATACTAATTGCCATTTATGGAAATAGTGTGGATATACTACTATGGATCACGCGATCTTGGTTAGCTGTTCTTAATTAATGCCTTCCCAACACTATCATGTATTCTATTTAAATTAAAACAGAGTTCATGGAACACTCATCAAACCTGTTTTTGTTAATCTAGAGCTTGAAATGTCCCCTGAAACAATTTGTGCCATTCTCGTTTGATGGCAGGGCTTTTAGTTTGGTGATGCAATGGCATTTCCACAGGGATGGTATAGATTTCAACATGTTTTCAGTTCAGTAGAGTTGGGGAGCGCAACATGATTTTACTTGGAATTTATCCTAAGGGGTATGCGAATTTGTTTTTTGAAGGAAAGGTCAGTCTCAACCAATTAATTACGTCCAAGATTGCGTGTTAGGATTTTTTTTCCGTTAATTAATCTAAGTTCTAACGAATAAAATGCGCCTAGTGGGTTCAAATTCTGCATGCATGCAGTTCATACCAGTGTGGATTAAAACAATTTCGCTCGGCCTTCGACTGACAGTACAGTTGCCAAATTGGAAACTGAAAGAATTGGTCGGTCGAATGTTCCCAATCTATGTGCTATATAGTTGATCAAATAATTCAGGGCAAAATATAAAACTGTTGCTCCCCTATATGTTCTACCTATATCACAATATCTTATAAACAATCTTAAAAGCGGTCAGTAAAAGTACAATTTATTTAATCTCTTAAGAAAACTATACTCTTTGATAAACTATAGTCGTAAACAATAGATGTATTTTGTCATTAGCTTTCTCCTTTACAGAGAGGCATAGCTCAAGAGAGCTAGTGTATGAAGAAGTAGTATATGTGCTTCCTTATCATACCTGTAAAACTACTCACTGCTGTGCTTCATTTGATCGGTCAAAATATCCATGCAGCATAAAATCGATCTTTGGTCTTTTTTTGCAAATAGCCGATTGTCAATCGTTATAATCCACACTGGCTTATACCCATATAGTTTGATATGTATTTTGCTATTATCACTATACGCATGCATATATATGCAAATTGCTATAGTAAGATATACAGTCATTAGCTCAGCTGTCAGGGCTAAATATATATAAGGCCACTAGTGACAGCTGTTTACATTATAGATGTAGACTATATAACACAGTCTATACTGAACCTTAAAGCTGGAACAATTTATGCCACTTTAAAACCGGTGAACATCCTTGTCCTCTGACGACTTCGTTCCAATGCATTTCCTCGCTCTTATCACTGTTGTTTCTGCCGATAGAGAACCGCCCGACCAACGATTTCCGACCAAACGGCCGACTCACGCGAAGAAGTGTGACTAAAAGCGTCACACTTAGCAAATTATTATCGGGTAAGAAAAACGAGAATTTCTCATTGAATTCCGGATTCGGTGAATCCTTTTGAATCGACGTTTTCGTATCGAATAATAAATCCCCGCTCGATGAAATCAGTTTAATTTCCACGTACATCGGAGCCGCTTTGTTGTGAACTAAAGGCCCACAGCAACGGGTTTTGAGTATTTCGATATTCAACCGTTGAACGGTCGAGCGGTGTTGTAGCGATACTAACAGCTCCGGGTCTTCCGTGGTTGATAGCCGCGAGCTTATGTCGGTTGACATTGAAACTGGGCTTAAACTCCGTTCTTCTAACCGATTTCCATAAGCCAGCCCTCTGGTCGGTGGGAACATTTCGATGTCCAAAGTTATCAATTCAAAACCAAGTCTGACGTTCTTTAATGCAAACACTCCTTCGGCTAATAGGACTCGTTTCAACATCCTTCCGCTTTCGTAAAGTCGAAACCTCAGTCGCATTTGAGGTAGCCGCTCTCTTGGGTAGATGTAAAATGCGTAAGGTTCGGTGAAATTCTTCGCCTTTACTCGATACGTTTGTCTTTTATCAGGGAGTAGAACCAGATCGACTTCCATACTCTCTTTATCCCGAACCATTCCTTCGTTCGTCAATTCCACTTTATTGATAGTGGTCGTGAGTTTGGACATATGAAACGTGTAATCGAGGACAAAACGTAGCTTCGCAACTGTGAAGTCAAAATCGTGGTTCGCAATTTGACTTGATAATGTGAACGTCGACGAAGCCGGGCTGATACTGCCGTTTAGGTTCATAGCTTCGAAATTCGAGCTTAGCGAAAGGTCGGGCGAGATATTTTGACGCCTTGTATCCATTGCTTCTCTCGCTACATCCCGGGAACGTCTAAAGTATCGGCCTTGCGTAGTAACATCTGAGAGCGAACGATATGCACTAGTATGGGTACTGTTTGTGGACCTATTTGATCTATACGGCTCCGTGTAGCGTCTTGTTGCGCTGCTGTATGAAGGAGGCGGGTAGTTTCGATTACTAGTCCTTTCCGTCGAATTCATCTCGGTTAAGTCCGACCCCGAAACACCAGCCTTCCTTTGGCGTGTCCCTTCCACCCTTTCTCGTTCAAAAACTTCCAAATTCGAATCGTTTTTCACGTTTAAATTCAAAACCTTGTCATCGTCGCAATTCTTCTCCCCAACCGTTTCTAGACTTTCGCCGCTCGACGAATCAACGGTCATGCTGCGGTCACGTGACCATCGACCCAAAACACAACAGCAGGCGGAGAAAATTGCAGCATAATTTGGCATCGCATTCGCTATCGCCATACGCCATCGTAGACAAAGATTACCAAAAGGCATTTTAATGACCCGCATTAATCCCCATATATCCGAGATATCTTGCAGTTCGAGCGAATTAACCCAGTGATAACGAAGGGTTAGTCAAATTAAACTTCGAACCGATGAATTTTCGAATTTGGCCTTCCCTAATCATTACGAATTAGTCTGGTAGCGTGGAAAAGTCGCTTGCAATTACGTACGCATTCGCGTTGTTTTGATGGAGAATATTGGCAGTGAATTAATAAGTTTCATTTAAAATTAACGAGCGTATACAAACGAATAAAAATGTATCGAAACACTGTAGCGAATTTACGGGCAAGTTTACTATGGGTAAAACTTTGGAGTTTAAAAATCGTGTCCTTTTTTGCCTTGTTCAAATAAAACTCATTAACTGGGCTGTATTTTGAAGCGGCGATCAAATGCAAATAATGAAAGTTTGCCAATGAATTTTTCATGCGATTGTGTTAGATATTGTTCTTCACGTCGTTAATATTCAATGCGATGCGTCGACATTTCTGGTCGCTGGGGTTTGGCTTAATGAATCCGGCAAGCGTTAGAACGTGAACTTATAAAGAATGTGGGTTTTGCGACATTGAATTTTAAGGTTTTGGGTGAAAGATTACATTGTTTTTGTATGCGAACATTGTCATGCAATATTGCTTGAAAACCGACAAAACTCGTTTTGTTCGGTTATAAACCTACAATGCTACATATACAAAATTGCAGAATTTTTATCCTTCCCGATCGATAGATTACAGATGGACTTTTTTTTATTTTGTCCGCTACTTTTTTGTTAAATATCGGCGTTTTCGTATCCTTTGCGTACTTTTCTATTCTGGCTCAACTCTGTTTTCGCATCAGTTTGTTTTTCTTGCTTTCGCTTTTCGAACCGTTTTACTTTTTCTTTTCGCGCCCTTTTGCTTTCGCCCGATTTTTTGCGGTCAGTTTCGCACCTTATATTTACACACGATTTTGTTTATTGCTTTCGCGTCTTTTCCGCACGATTTCGTTCAGTAATCTAACGCTATCTATAATATAAACAAAGAATTCGAGCTTGCCTAATTCAAAAGCCTGAACAAATGTGACACATAATAACGTATATTTTATTGAAAGGACATCCCAACCCAGTCATATATCGACACGTAAAATAAACAGTTTTGATTTCTTCACCCTTACAATAATGCATTTCGTTACATATATAATAAAGATTTTGATCTATGTCTATTAACAATCGACCGATGACGTCATTGTTTTAATATCTGACTCGTTCCCAGTAGCCACTTTAGCTTGCGCGATATCTTCGTCCGTGACATTGATCCAAGATTCTGATTCGTTGATTTCCTTGGCTGATGATTTTCTCTCTTTCTTTCGTTCCGAAGTGCTGCAACGAAACGTTTATCAACTATTTTACAAAATGTCGATTCGAATTAGCCAGATAAAATTTGAAATCTCATTAATTCCAAGGATGTACGTATTGCAACACAACTGCTATCTTATAATAGTTTTGTTTGTGGAAACATCACGTAAATTTATTACTGCAAAGCTTTCGATCCGTAAGCCCGGATCTTCATATGATGAAGATCCGGGCTTACGGATCGAAAGCTTTGCAGTAATAAATTTACGTCGTGTTTCCACAAACAAAACTATTATATGTTTTATCGCCATGCAAACATACAAAGAACTTATAACTGCTATTTTATCAAGTTGGACAGTTGACGTTCTTCAAATTTTTAATCAATTCATTATACATATAAGAAAAAGTTGAAGGGTATTTGAGATGGAAATTATCGAGTGGAAATTTATATACATTTATTAGACCTAACCAGAACAACTGCGAAAAATACAACTTTAGGTCCCTGACAGGAATCGAACCCGCGGTCCTGCGATTCCGGTGCAGCGCTCTAACCAAATGAGCTACAGAGGCTAGTTGTCGAGCTTTAACCACAAGTTCATGTATGTATACTAGAATACTGCCATGTTAGGCAAGATTGTTATATCATGACTGTATAGGACTTGTTAGAACAACCTTGCAACAAGTCTGATAATATCAACAAGGTTGTTACAAGTTGTTAACAGCTTGTTCCAAACTTGTTGACAAGCTGTGCGAACACGACTTGTTGCCTTGTTGGTAACTTTATTTGTTCTTCATTAGTACACAGATAAACTTAAATCTTTTCTCAATGTCCTTTAAAACGAAGGCCGACAAAAAATAATTTTTACGTCACACCTAACACTACTTACCCTTCACTATCCTTGCCTTCTTTATCCTTATCTTCTTCACCCTCATTGTCCTTACTTTTTTCGTCCTCATTCCCCTCAACCTGTTTCTGTTTATCCTCTGAAGTTCCCTGTTTATCCTCTGAAGTTCCATTATCACCATCATTATCATTCTCCTTGGTCCCGACAGGACTGTGTGAATACAGCGGTACAAACGACTCGAAGAAGCCACAGTCCTCGGTCAGATTTGGTAAGAGCCAGAAGTGATGTTTTCCAGCGGTTATCGCCCATACGAAACCAAACAAGACATAACGGACTAAGCAAAAAATATTGGATACTGGCGAGTCACCTTATATGTCACCCTGATTTTTATATATTATAGTCGACAGTCTATTCATCTATCGTCACTTGTATATTCAAACAATTAATATGACCGATTCATCTATCGTCTATCATTTATAATCCATATCCTACATTTACCATGTACACTCGATTATTTACCGTCCACACTCCTTTCATTCATTCTCTATTCTCTACTATTTATATTATCCATGATCTATCATATCAGTTTATTCCTCACTATGAACTGTATATAATGTATTATCTATACTGTCTATTAATTTATTCTTAACAGTCTGTTCAAATATCATCAATAGTGGATTCAACCATCATCTACAACCTTTAAGACCTGTTCATATGAGATTGGCTTGTGGGGAAGCTCACCCGAGTAATTTCTGTGTTCACATGACTATTTTTATCCCGCCTAAATCTTGCCTCGGTGGAAATCTATATAGACTATTCATTCATCTGTTATCATTTACTTTCTGGATATTCACCTGTCACTGACAATATAGTCAAACTCATCTAATGCGTACACTATATTGAATTTCCCAAATAATCTAAAGTCAACTTACACAAAGCTACAACAAGTAAGGCTCCAAGTAGTATAGCAGCCGCCACACTTAAGTACCACGTGTATTCTCTCATTTGTGGTGGCCACAGGGGAAACAAGCATATGACAATGGCGCCGATCACTAAAAGGTGCACACAAAATTGATTTTAAAAAAATCTTGAATCTGAGAGTTCAAATCTCGTGTACTTACAGAGGAAGATTCTGTTAACTTGTTACCTCAACAGGTAAAGCGGTAGACTAGTATTGTATCAGTTCTGAATTCAAACAATGTAGAATTTTTATTCCAACTTACCAACTAAAACTCCATAGATCATTGTCCTGGGATGCATTGGATCAAATATCCACATGTAAACCTGTACGAGGAAGCGACAACCTTTAACATGTTTAAGCTTAACTACTATACCTCGAACAACTCCGACATTTCCTTACGACGGACACTTTTTCGAATTATCAAAGTTTTCTAAATATTTTTGAGATAGTTTCACCATAGACACAGATGTCTCTAATGCTTTCGATCTTATATTATATGAATATAATAAATTGCACATTAAAATGTTACTTGCATGTAGGTAGTAGGTAAAATTGTACTTGCCTCCTCTCCATCCAGAAAATCCTGAAACTCGTGAAGTTCCAGCTTTACCTTCACCTGGTAAGAACAACTTTGGTTATTTAAGTGAAAATGAAAACTAAGCTAGTGAATAATGCATACGAGTATATAGTATTAAAGGTAAATGGTTTTGTTTTTTAAATGAATAATGTAATCTGATATTATTTGTCATGTTTGGAGAACTTTTTCAAGTTACTTTAAAAAATTTATCTGAATTGAAGATTCGATGTTAATTATTACATAATGAGCCGTATAATTACATATATATATATTACATAATGAGAGACACCGTGTCTCTAATTAATATGGCTTCAACACTTTTGCATCATTAATATAGTTGCAGTCAGTTTCAAAATGTTTTTGGCTATTTTCTCATATGTCATTCCATATCCATTGAAAAAGGTGGACGACTGTACCAGCTACACGTTGGTAAAATAAAGTGGCACAACAGAACGCCTTTGACTGGGTTAGGTTTTAAACGTTTTTCTTCAAAAAACACGCGAGGCAAAAAACATACACTCTTACCTTTATCTTCTTGCCATCAGATTCCACATTTTTACCTTCGTTTGAGTCCTAAAGTTTACAAAAGATGACACATTTCAGAGATAATTTTTTTACAGTCTTTTCTAACTCATCAAAAGTTTATAAAGAGAAAAGTCTAAAATGAACCAGCTAGCTAGATTACATTTGGAAACGTCAAATAAATTTCCATAATTAAAGCCAACTTAGAAATGAACATTCTCTATTTCTGGAGCTATTGAATAATGAAGAATTTTTTTTAAGAGACTAAATAATTATCTAACCAAACCTTTTTGGTCTTGCCAGGTTTTGGTGAATCTTTGTTATCCTTGGTTCCTTTCTTTGCTTCATCTTTTTCACCTTTCTTCTTTTTTCTAACTCTTGTCACACGTTTGAACATCCCTAATTCTAAAAAACTAATGAATACAATGTTTATGTGTTACATAATTTAAACGTTATACCTCTTATGTTATTTTAAAAATTAAAAAGATTGCTTCATTTTTGCGCAAACGTTTCCGCAAGAATCTAATATAATGGGAAAATCTCAGGCTTCTTCCAAGAATTTAATCATCTTTCATTTATTATGCTTTACTGCTATTTCGGAACGTTTTGTGTTTTGCTACACTTTTTTAATCTGATCATCCCCATTTTTTTGTATTTCACACTTCACCTTCCGCATGTTAATGAGCTCTTTTTTGTTGTTGGTGTTATGTGTACTCACGTGAATATGATGTTTGTGATGTTACTCTCAGTGTGCATCCACACCAGGCAAGCTGAAAAGTTTGCTTGGCCACGGTGGGAATCGAACCCACGACCTTGGGATACTATAGTCCAATGCTCTGCCAACTGAGCTACGTGGTCAAGGCGGTTCGGGTTAATTATATTTCGGAACTGAGTCTAGTTCCTTCGATATCTGTGTATTCTATGATATGGTGTTATAACACCAACAACACACAAAAAAATCATATCATAGAATACACAGATATCGAAGGAACTAGACTCAGTTCCGAAATATCATTAACTCGAACCGACTTGACC